ATTTCCTTTTACTATTTTAATAACTATATACGATTCTTAAAAGAGAATAGAAACAGAAGTTCCAAGTGGAGCGGACCATTGCGATATTAATGTGTTTTTTGTTCCGCAAGTAAGTTTTCATTGATATTGATAACAGATATTGTTTTAGGGTTCCTATTCGAATCATGTAGTAGCACAACAGCCAACTTGGAATACGTGTAACGGTAGCTATGTAAGAAAGCAGACGACCTCGCTAATCTATGTACCTACCTCTAATCTCTAAGGGAATAGTAAATATTGTACCTAAGTATTGCATTAAGCCAGAACATATTATATTGAGAAGTTTTTGATTACTGGTGAGCTCAAATGTTCACACAATTCTAATCTCTGGCAATCATATGTTGTAACGACTGACGACATTTATCAAATATGATCAAATTCAAAAGATGATAAAGATTTATTATATAAGTTATGAAAAGTATCCGGAATGTACGATTTAAAAAACTTGTCGAAACAAAACCAGCGCAATTTTTTCGATAACTTGTGTTTTTAATAAGATTTGAGTGCGTTCTTACCAGAAAACAGTTAACAGTTTTTACCAGAAAACTTTTGTGTTGTAATTAACCAAACGCCGTATTCTAATGACAGGGGGAAGAGGTATGCACCTTTTTTCTATTCTTTGAGCTAAGTAATCATTTTAAGAAACCCATAGCTTGTCGATTGTTTTATTAAAGAAAAATCGCTGATGGAGTTAAAGGTTTACGAATATTATATGGAACTTTAGTTCAAACATTAGCATAGTTGTACTGCATAGAGTAGATCCTACTATGCGACAAAATAAATTTTAATCGATGGATATTTTTTTTTAGTTTTATTTAATAAATCTAGTTACTTTTACGCAGATTGTAAAAACATATTTGAAGAATAATCCAGGCTTTTTTTTATAAATTCTGAATTATATTAAAATATACATATATATACATATATACATATTAACATGTATAATTTTTTTAATATTATTTGTTTTTATTTATAATTATAGTTTCTTTGCATTATATTAATTTTTATAATATTATGTTAATATTTTTTATTTTAGCCCTTCTAATCAAAATTTTCAAAGACGTTTTCCTAAAGATTTTTTGTGGGGTGTTGGATCATCATCATATCAAATAGAAGGAGGCTGGAATGCAGACGATAAAGGCGAATCTATTTGGGATCATTTAACACATAATTATCCAGAGAAGATTGATGACAAATCAAATGCAGATACAACTGCAGATAGCTATCATCAAGTAAGTCATATCTTACTGATATATAAACCACAAAATAATAAAAGCGTTATCCAGCTTTCTATATTTTAATTTAAAAAAAAACTAGTCTGATCTGCATATTGACAGTTGGGTATATTGTTAATATTTATTTCTATTTACATAAACTAGTTATATTTTATAAAAACTTTGCTCTAATAAAAATTGAAATTTATGGCACTATTAATTCTCCAACAATCACTTCGCTTGGTAAAGGCGTTCCCGTGAACTGATTTATAACTTTTAAAAGTTATGACTCAAGTTCAAGAGAAGTCGATTCTACTTTTAATGCCTTAATTACTATTAAATAATTTATTCTTTTTATGACAACAGGTGGAATGAATTGTTAAAAAAGTTTTTGCAACAGGTGGACATTTAGGTTTATAGTTCCATATTTTATTTAAAATATGTTAATTTAATAAAATGTGTCATAATTATAATTATTTAAATAACGTTCTTTTAAGAAGCGTTTCAATTCAAATTTTTAACAAATGAGCACTTTACAACATACCCCCACATTATACTTTTGTCTGATATTTTTAAATTTATTGGTTTTATTTATAAGACCTCGTTTTGTTTTTGATATACCGATGAATACAAACAACTAATTTTTCTTAAGTTCTGCGTATTCATACTAAACCAAAAGTCCTTGCTTAGTCCTATTAATTAAAGGAATCCAAGTAATTTATGGGATTTTAGTTAACTACTTATGGTATGCTTATGGTTATGTTATTTATTAAAGAAATCTCTGTCTCTATTAATTGATATTATATATTTTAATAATATTGTTATTCGAAAAGCTAGTAAATAATATATACCCATTCATAAATATTAACGAGAAGTCTTTGACCCAGTAATCTTGGTTTATTTCTACATAGGAAACTTAGTTGAAATAACAATGCACAAAACAGATGTTATTTTCAGCAATTTATATATGTAAATAAAAATAGGCAAAAATGGGGCTTTAAACGTAAAATTGTCTATTACTTCGATAATTCGATCGTGAAATCGATTTTACTCTTCTGCGAAGGAAAAGTAAAATCGCAAAACTAAATTGAATTCAAAAAACAACCTGTCTTTTTATTGCAGAATACTTAAGGCCGTTTTCTCTCTTAAGCTTTATACAGTAAATATTTCCTATCAAACCAATTAAGCAACTTTTGACTATGCTGTCAAAGTAGCGCTTAGAATAAACTGCATAAAAAAATTGAAACCACATCTAGGACACTCAAAATATCCCTAAGAAGCACATATCTCCAACACGTCTCAGGAAAGTCCAAAACATCCCACAAGTGGTTGACTATCATATTTGTCGACCGATTCTAATAATAAATACTCTATATCAAAACAATATAAGTGTTAAAACAATTCTGCCGACCTTCACTGTCAATATATATTTACACAAAATTTTCTTAGAAAAGAAATTGATTAAAATGATAAAAAAGCTTTTGATTTACTAATACAGTTTTATAAAAACTTTGAGAAAACAAATTCTAAAAATAAGACTTCTTTTGTATCGCAAAGAACCCATAGGTGGTGTATGTCGAGTCTGTCGCAGACTCACCTTTAAATTCGAGCAATCCTATTTTATTTTATACATTGTTTACATTTTAATTCTATAACTTTTATATCTATATTCTATTAGAAGCTCAGGGTTTTACAAATTGTGTTTCCAATCTATTCTATTTCCAATCAATTGCGCAAGTTCGTTAAACGATTGGCTAGTCTTTGGCAATTATAAAAATCTTAGTGAGCATGAAACCTATCATTTTTGTATTTGTAGGAAACGAGGTTGCATAGAAGAGTATGGTATGGGGCAAAATAATGAGACATTTCTTTAATATTAGTAAAAAAAATATATACATTAGTCTGTATAATATTTCTTATGTCCAGGTGTATACAGTCGTATTCTGTATACAAAGTATTCCGTAATTATTATTCCAAAAAATACACACCGAAATACAGCTGCTTGCAGGAGTTCTTACCAATAATATTCATAGTAAGTCAAGCTTAGTAAGCATCATATGACATAATCATGACATAGTTCCCTGTTTTTGCTTTTTGTTTTCGAAACTAAAGTTACCACAAATTTTGAGTCAATTACAGCCATATATGAAAACTCGCCGTAAGATTTGAAGTCCATACCTCAATCACAGTGGCGTATTTAGAGGGAGAGGATTTAAGATAATAACATAAATCCCCACTTTGACAATATAATTCAAATGTAATATACTGCAAAAATACTAATAAAAAATTTCTTTCTGGTACACCTCCCCTTGGAAGAATCCTGGCTACACCACTGATTAATTACCTTACGAAAAACGCAGAGAGAAATAGGCCAAGCATTATTTATTTTATACGCAAAAAAATAAATTTTGATTGACTGTTAATTCTTTGTGTGTTTTATTTAATAAATCCGGGTACTTTTTACATCAATTGCAAAGTTTAACTAACAACATAAATTGTTTAATTGTTTGATAAATACCTTTTTATCATATGAAGTTTTGTAAGACATCCGGTTTTTAACACTCCTACACTCATGCGTGTTACTAGTGTAAACGTCACACATATGCTAAACAGCTCATTTTATAATGAAGTCTGTAAATCCGTGGCCAGATGTGTAAACGCCATTTATCAGAAAATAAA